TCCCCGGGGAACAGGGCAAACAGCGGGGGACCAGGATGAGGACGGAGCTGGGGGGCCCACCAGGGCCAAGACCAGCACTCCCCAGAGGAAGGGCTCAGGGTCCCCCACCCAGGTCCCCCAGGAGAGCGGGGCACATCGCCCTCGTCAGCCCAGCCCACGCTCAGCCTTTCACTGGAGCTGGGCTCAGGAGAAAAGGGAAAAAAGCAAAAAGCAGCTATTTGGGTTGAAAGTGTTCGCTGAACCTCGGGGCAGGGGAAGCATCTGTCTGGCTATTAGCGAGCAATTGCTCGGGGCCGTAAAACACTCGATTTTATGGGGCACCGACGGGGAGGCAGTCCGGCTCACTCCCAGGAGCGCAGCCTGTCACGAGGTCACCTCGGCCAAACCCACGTGCTCCGCGGGCCGCGACCCAGGCGGCCCATCTCCGGACGTGGCTGCCCGTTCGCCTGGGCGGTACAGGACTCTCGGCAAGCTCGGACAGCCGGCCTCCCGGGTCCTCGGGCCCCGGCCTCTGCCCGTGCCCTGTCGCCTCAGCGCACGGTGTCCCGGCCGGGGCTGCTCACACTGCTGCACTGTGGCCAGCTCTGGGTCCACGGCCTGGTCCCTGCACCTCACTGCGCCCAGAACCCCTGGCTCCCCGGCAGCCCTCCCATCCCACAGAGCAGCCCAGTCCCTGGCTGGCTTCTCTGCCTCCAGCTCCTCTACCCGCTGCCCGTGCAGGAGGCCAGAACCCTCCAGGCCTGCATCACATGCTCTGTGCTCCTCTGCTCATGCATCTGGGGCATGTCCCGGGACTGGAGCCGCATCTGCCCGGCCCCCAGGCCCAAGGAGGCCCCAGACAGCGTCTGCAGCCCTGCAGCCGGGTAACAGAGCGAGGGCCTGGAGAAGGCACGACAAAGGAACCAGGAAAGACAGCGTCCAGGAGATGGAGGCCAGGGCTCCCCGGCCTCCTTGCCTCGGACCCTAGAAGCCTTCCATGGGCTGAGCACCCCGCTGGGGGAGCTGCGCCCCATGGCCTGTGCGGGGCTGAGTGAGTTCAGGGGACAGGGGGGCCCTGTATGGGTCACTCAGGTTCCTGGGGCTGCAGCCCGTGGGGGTCTGATCAGAGATCAGCCCAACAGCAATGGCGGCTCATGCCCAGGAGGACATGCATGGGCCACGGCCCGAGGACTGCTCTGCGGAAGGCAGGAGGCCCTGGGAGCGCCCCCCACCAGGGCCTCATCCTCCCACCAGCGCCCCCACCACTGCTGGGAAGCTCTGAACAAGAAGCTGGAACCGGGCCTGCGTGTCCCACGGGCTGAGGGGACGGCCTCTCCAGTGACCTGATGGGACTGGAGGTCTCATAACAGAGGGACGGCCTGCACCACTGGCCAGGAGAGCCCACCTCGGCCCCGTGCCCTGATGCCCCTTCTGGGACAGTCGTGCACCCGCACGCGGGGCTCGGTAGGGAAAAGGAGATACCGTGAGGTCGGGCGCGGGGACAGGCGCATGGGCAGGCGACTGAGAAGCCAGGCACCGTGGCAGTTCGGCAGGTCCAAAGCCCCAGGGGACAAGCCCGAGGCCACATGCCTGGGAGCGGCTGCGGGAGGGAGGGGACGCGCCTGTCCTGGGAGACAGGCAGGCCTGGGCGGGGTGGGCTGCCCGGGCCCTTCCGCCTTCCCCGCTCTGCCTTTCTTCCCAGAGGCGTACAACTCCCCTGCTGGGGGACATACCACTGCCCAGAAAGGCACAGGGCAAGGTGCAGGGAGGGCCAGGGGCGCGAGCGAGTCTGACATGCGTGGAGCGTCCTGATCTGACGAAAGCCACAGCCCTGAGTGCAGCAGCCAGGACACCCGCAAAGCCCGGTCCCCGCCAGGAGCCTCCAGGCTGGCCATGCACGGAGACCAGGCCTGTGTCCTGGTGGGTGGCCGGGCTGGGCAGGGGCCCCCTGACTGTCTGGGGCTCCTCCTACACAACCTTCAACTCAGCCCCAGGACCGACGGAGCAGCGTGGGGTCGACTCCATGGCATGGTCTGCCAGGGCAGCTGGGCCCCACATGGCTGGTTGCACAGTTCGAGTCCTAGACCGGGCAGCTTGAGAAACACAGCAGGCACGTGTGTATGCCCAAAATCCGAGAGGACGAAGAGGCGGAGAGGGGATCGGCCCCTGCTCAGCGCACATGCCCTCTGGCAAAAAGAACAAGGCGACTCTCAAGGCTGGCCATGGACAAGAGCCGTGGTGTGGTCCCGTCTGGGTCAGGCAGAGATGGCGAGGGCCGGCCACCACGCAGCTGCCGTGCCAGGCTCGGCCGAGCTGGGGCTCACAGCGGAGACATCCCTCCAGGTGGGCGCTGCCTCCGGCCGGCCGACAGCCACTTCCATCTCGCCACCGCTTCGCCCGGCAAGGCTTCCTGTCCGCGCGGAGGGTGCTATTAATAGTGTAATTTTCTTGGTGTTTTGTTTATTCCCCGGGAATGGCTTGATGGATGTGAATAATTATCAGACTATAAAAGCCAGCAAATGTGCTATTTTCTATCGCTCTAAATCATCAAACAAATAAAGTGTGAAACAGCATTTTTGAATATAATTTTCCCCTCTAATGGCTTAGAATTATTATCAAGAACAATGGAAATAAACAAGGAAGTGCCTTGTGAGCTGAAGGTTAAGCGCACATGTCAGGGAGAGGAGCACGGGCTGTCTCGGAGAGCAGGGACCTGCTCGAGCCACGAGTCACGACGGGCACGGAGACAAGGCTCAGCGCGGCTCAGCCCGGCCCGTGGGGGCACTTCCGGTGGCCCCCGACCAGCCCGGCTAAGCGGCCGCCAGGACATGTCCCCAGGTGGCTGGCACGGTGCCCTGGAGAGTGCGGGGTGTAGCCGAGCTCCGGGAGGGCTGTGGCACG